TTAAAACTTTTTTTTTCAAAATCATTTTTCAACCGAGACAGTGAAGGCTTAGTTGTTTTATTAAATAAATTAAGCCCATTGATGTAGAATAGATTGAGAATTTTAGAATTTATTAACATAAGAAGATGAGTAGAAGTTGAAGACATGACCAGAAGGAGCAGAGTAGATGTAGTAGAAGAAGGCAGCCAGAGAAGAAGAAGACAACATAGCCAGAGAAGAAGAAGGAGGCAGTCGAAATCGGAGAAGGGAGAGAAGACACGGAAGCTAGACGACGTTGGTAGCTTCAATTCATCAATCATTAGCCATCCTACAACACAAAACATAAATAAAGGAAAACAAACCTAAAGATAAAGGGGCCTTGGGTAGCCTAAAAACAACAAGCCCAATTAATCTAATGAACATAAGTAGAAATAATCCAAAAGATGACATATATAGGTGATGTCCTCATCACCCATGTTTGGCACGCATACTTTAAAACTCATTTTTCTCGAACTAATTTTTTTTACCACACATTCTTCCAATAAAATAATTTTACGCGCAATCATACTTTTATACCACACACTCTCCAAAAATATCACTTTTTACAAAATCCAATTTCAAAAAATCTACATAAAAGGCCGCATCTTAAATCAGTCAAAAGTTTGATAAGCTCAAAAAATTGCTAAAAAGGCGAGGTCACAGTCAACAATTAATTTTAACATACATTACATTTGACCCACAATCACTAATCACTTTTCCACCATGCATTTTGGGGGACCCAGCACTTTCTTTGTAGCAAAATCAACTTTTTGGCTATCCCAAACAAACAGTCAATTTGAACGGCAGATTGCTTTGTACATCAAAATAATATAATAAAATTCTTGCCTGAGATTTCTACAATATGACCAAGATAGTAGAGTAAACAAAAAAAAGAGAAAAAGTGAACAATTTCTTGAAAGTACCCCCACATTTAACGAATAAGAACCTTTTTACCAAAAGTTCTAAAGACTTATTTATGAGAAAAATAGACCCAAAAATTATCTTACCTCCATGTCGACGCCACCTATTGGAGCACAAGCATCACTATGCATAGACAAAGAGTTCTTTTTCTTTTGATCAACATCAATTTTTGAAATTTAGTTCTTTTCATATTCATTATTGATGGAAGTTTTAGGGAAGGCATCAATATAATTGCTGTGGGGCTCACTGAAAGGACCAGATGGTGAATCCACCGGCAATTCTTTTACACAGTTCTGATTAAAAAATTTAGGATAGATTTTGTTGACCTTAAAAATTGGACCTTCCACATGGCCAATCGATAGCTACTCCACGTATTCCTCCCTGCACACAATCAACGCACGGTCAGACGCACACGGTCGGGACCAGCGGGGATGGTGGCGATCGTATACACTCCAACGGTCAAATCAGGTTCAGGTTGTTGGAACAATACCCAGAGGTTGTGTCAAAAACACTAAGGGGGAGGAGAAAATATATAAACTTGCTATGGAGTGCTATGTAGTAAGAGTTTCATTACTTTTGCCTCTTGCTAAACCTTGGGTATTTATAGATGGGATGAACCGTTGGATGTGGGACACGTGTATACATCTGACGGTATGAGGCGTTCGCTCATAGGCGTCAATCAGCCGCGTCTGTAGAGTGGGTGGACAGTTTGTTTCTCCCGAGTTGAGTTGACATAAAGTTGATAAGTCACCTCAACTAGTCTCATGGAGATGTCAAATCAATTTAAACTTTAGGTGCAGAGAGGATCTTGGCAAAAATCTCTTTCTAAAATTGGCGGCGGATCTTCTGACATAGGTCCACTTTGCCTCGGTCTCAGGGGCGAGGGCATTTCGATCAGTTCAACAGGATCGCCTATGTCTCGCAGTGTGTTATCAGGTCATTGACATTGGTGAGATCACTTCGAAAACACTTAGAATGGGTGTCTATCAAGTCAGAATGTGTGGTGGTGGGCATTCTGATGCGATTCAGATAGGGGCGTAACATGGTCTCCCAAGTCCAGGTATGAATATTTATATCATGGGTGGACTTGCTTTCCTGACCGGATGTGCATGCCTCGGTACTGGGGATCATGACTCGTGGGAACTTGTGGGTCGATCTTCTATAGTAACCGAAGCCATGATCTTAGGCAGATGCGCCAAAGCTTCATTACTGCGTAAGGGAAACAATAACCGATGTGATGTCAAAGCACTGCAAGACTGGACGATTAGTAGGAAAAAAGGTCAACGCGACGACCGAGGCGATGACCCACAGGGGACTCGCGTCAGGCGTGCTTAAGCTTTTGTAAAATTGAGTGAAGAGCTCATCTACCATCGGTGACCTACAGGGGACGACGCGTTGGGAGATGGCTAAAACTTTGTAAAGCTTAGGAGGGAACACAGCGGCCGAGGTGATGACCCACAGGGGACTTCACGTCAGGTGCGTCTAAGCTTTATAAAGTTGAGTGAGGAGCTCACCTACCACCGGTGCGCTGATCCACATGGGATGATGCGTTGGGAGATGGCTAAAACTTTGTAAAGCTTAGGAGGGAATGCAGTGGTCGAGGCGATGACCCACGGGGGACTTTGCGTCAGGTGCATCTAAGCTTTGTAAAGTTGAGTAAGGAGCTCACCTACCACCAGTGTGCTGACCCACAGGGGACGACGCGTTGGGAGATGGCTAAAACTTTGTAAAGCTTAGGAGGGAACGCAGCAGCCGAGGTGATGACCCACAGGGGACTTCGCGTTAGGTGCGTCTACGCTTTGTAAAGTTGAGTAAGGAGCTCGATCCGAGGTGATTCAGACGTCAAATGATTTGACATCTATTCCATATTTTCAAGGTGACAGTTGGGTGCCATTCCATTCTCCTAAAAGGCTGCTGCGACTACTTATTATTGACGACCGGAGGAGATCGAATGGGTCTTTCTATAAAAGGCGGACTCTGAGCTTTTCTCAAGCTTTCTATCCTTGCGAAAACAAACAATAACTCTCAAGACATTTGCAATTTTTAGCATTTTCTAAGCAATTTCGGTGAGAAACATGAACTTTCGATGAGAAATACCAACACCGGGTGACCTTACACCATTTTTGGCTAGGAAAACCTTCAAACCCGTAAGTTTCACTACCTTTTAGGATTTTTAACTTCTGAAAAATGGCTTTTGAGGGGAGTTCTAGTTCGGGGAGGGGGTTAGAACTAGTGAGGATGGACGAGCCCATTGTGGCGACTTCTTCAAAAATAGCCGAGGCGATGGGACACTCCATTCGTGCTCGATCTGCCAAACTCCATCAAAGAATGGAAGAGCTCGTGGTGCTGGGCCGTTGGGCGATGGGACACGATGGAGGGGGATCCCCTGGCGCCTCTTACGGTCTCGACGAAGTACTCAACACTTAGTGAGAATAGTAGTTACTTTTCTTTATATTTCTCTTCGGTTCGAACCGTGACCAATACTTGCATTTCTTTTGTAGGTACTCTTCTTCGGTGCGAACTATCTTCCGAAGACTTCGCCACCATTTGCATCAGTTATCAGCTGCCTCAAAAGAAGAGGTCATACCATCGGCTGATCCAAAAGAACATTCACTTCGTTACACACGACTTGATGGCATCCCAAGGTAACTGGACTGAAGTCTTTACCCTTTATTCTAAACTTTTAACACTTGTACTAATTCGTCATTCGTTCCTTATAGACAATTTTAATAAGAAGACACCCGTGCGCCCCGACTTTAAGACCATCCAGAGGATGATGGCAGAGACACGGGTACTGAAGACCTCCTCCTCCTCCTATAAGAAGCAAATGGAGGATCTAGTGGACTCTAATAAGAGGCTTCAGCCTTCGATGGAGGAGGAGGTACCGGAGGACCCAGAGCCAGATCTACGGAGGAAGGGCAAGAAGAGCGCCGCCCCTCCAAAACGCCCAACTATGGCGAGGCCACCCCCCGTTCTGAAGCAGATCACAATTCCAAACGGGGTGGCCATTTCGGAGAAGAGGCCTGCGCCATCTGAGGCTATCACTGCCCCGGCCACAACACCACTTGCTGCCGTACCAATCGCTCAAGTGCCAGGGCAGCAGAAGAGGAAGAGGATGCGTCCCTCTAAGGAAGTCAACTTTCTGGGCACAAATCGGAGGAGCCGGTGAGGGAAGTGTTGGAGGCCCTTCCTCCAGAAACAGCTACAGTGGCGATGGTCTATAACAAATATTGGACCGAGGAGTGGAGGGACCACACCGCCTCCTACACAGCTGAAGACTTGGTGGCTGCCAACAGTGCCTGCGTGGCTCGGGCCTTGAGTACAAGCATCCAACTCGAGGGCCTGGTGAAGGATCTGAACTCCAAGAAGGAGGACCTCGCTAAGCACCTCGAGGAGGTGATGCAATATGGGGACGCCGTGCGAGAGGCCTGGGCCAAGGCCACGTAGGCGGAGGAGGGAAAGAAGGAGGTCGAGGCCCAGCTAACTGCCGCTAAAGCAAAAGTGGAGCGGTTGAAGAAGGAGTTATAGGAGGTGGAGTGCTAAGTGGCTACTATGACTTGGCGAGTTGATCACGCCAACGAGCACCACAAGCTCACCACCGAGGCTCTAAAGGCCTCAAACAAAGAGAAGAAGGAGCTGAGGCAGAAGGCAGAGGCTCAGTCTGAGGAGATTGCCTCCATGAAGGAGGAGTTGAAGTCTATAGGAGAGGTGATAGTTCAGAACTTCATCGACCATTTCGAAGACCATCCCCTGTATGACGACTTCGCCAATTTTTGGGCCTCTTGGAGTGCTCAAGGCTTATTGGGTCGATTGAAAGAGGTCCACCCCACTCTGGACATCTCCTCTTTAGAGGCAGAGTTCAGGGACGAACTGGAGGTCGGCTTGATAGGCTTGCTGAGGAAGCTCCGAAGGCCCCAGAGGCAACCGATGTAGGACCGGTCGAGGCAGAGGTCCCCCCACTAGAATAGGGCCATCTTTTGTAATGGCTTCGGCCTTCTTGTACTTCAATTCTCATTAAATGAAATGAAATATTTTTGCTAAGTATTTATGCTTCTACTTTCTTACCTTTTGGATCTGTTTATACTTGTATGAATGACAAATATCAGACTAAGCACCTCATAACAATAACCAGTTAATAATTGAGGATCGGACCACTCAAGTTAATATAAGTTGAATCACTTAAGCGAACATGAAGAGCCTCTTAATGTTAATCAGTTAATAATTGAAGATCGGATCACTTAAGTAAACATATTGAAGGACTGAGGAAACTATTTACTAACCGATGTGGCACAGAACCAAAGTTTCATTACTTGAGATAAATTACACCAAACTTTACCAAGGCAATTCCAGCACTTATTAAGCTAGGGAATTTACACGGAGATCATATCAGAACAATCGATTTATTAGACAGTATTGAGATCGGATCGAAACAAAGGATCATCATTGATAGTACTTTCTCAAGTGTTCGATGTTCCATTGATGAGGCAGTGCCTTTCCTGCCATGTCTTCCATTTTGAAAGTACTAGGTCAGGATTTCCTGCGGATGCGGTAAGGTTCTTCCCAATTTGGTCCAAACACTCCTGACCTGATCGATTTTGAAGATTGGAAGACCCTTTTGAGGACTAGGTTGCCCAGGCAAAGAGTTCTATTTCTGACCTTGGAGTTATAATAGCGGGTCATCTTTCGATGATACTTTGCCAAGTTCACTTGGGAGGCATTCCTCATTTCCTCAAGGAGGTGCAGTTCGCTTATTCGAGCCTCGTCATTGCTGATCTCACTGAAGTGTATCCGACAGTGTGATGGGACCCCAACCTCGATCGGGCTCATGGCCTCGGCTCCGTAGGTCATGGAAAATGGTGTTTCACCTGTTGCAGTTCGGCTAGAAGTTCTGATAGCCCAGAGGATGTGGGGGAGTTCGTCAACCTAGGCCTCCTTTGAGGCGTCAAGCTTCTTTTTCAGGGTGTGCTTGATAGTCTTGTTTACTGCTTCAACTTGCCCATTTGCTTGGGGGTGATGAAGTGTTGAGAAGTCCTTCTTTATGCCTAGTTCATCGCATAAGTATCGCATCTTTTTGTTGTCGAACTGCCTTCCATTGTCAGATACTAAGGAGTGGAAAATGTCGAACCTACAAATGATGTTCTTCCAGACGAATTTGGTAGTATTCGCCTCGGTGATCCTGGCAAGGGGTTCAGCCTCGACCCACTTAGTAAAGTAGTCAATGGCGACAATGGTGAAAGTTGCACTTCCTCTTCCTTTTGGGAGTGGACCAATGAAGTCAATGCCCCACTTGGCGAATGGCTAAGGGCTGGTTACTACGGAGAGGCTCTGAGCAGGCCGTCTTTGTATGTTTGAGAAGCGTTGGTACTTGTCACATTTTTGGACAAACTGGCAAGCATCTCTTTTCAGGGTCGACCAGAAGTAGCTCTGACGGAGAACCTTGTGTACCAGAGCCGTTTCTTCGGAGTGATTTCCATAGATTCCCTCATGGATTTCCCTAAGTATATATGTGGCCTCTTCTCCTCTCACGCATCGAAGAAGTGGTGAGGCGAAGCCTCTCTTGTAAAGAATTTCTTCTTGCAGGACGAAGCGTGTCGCCCTTCTTCTTAACTTCCGCGCCTCGCTTCTAGAGGCAGGCAGGGATTGATCTTTCAGATAGGCAATGATAGACTTCATCCACAATGGGGTGCCTTCTATCCGTAGTACCTCTTCACCTTTGGATGTGGAGGGCTTTGATAAGTGCTCAATGGGGACAACCTTCAGCAGCTCTGAATCCTTGCTGCTGGCTAGTTTTAAAAGGGCGTCTGCATGTGTATTTTCTAGGCAGGGGACTTGAGTCAGTTCGAACCTTTCAAAATGAGGAACTAGGTCTAGATACAACTTCAAGTATGCAACCATGCTACTGTCCTTGGCCACGAAGTTCCCATTGACCTGATTTACTATAAGTTGAGAATCGTTGCTCACCAGGAGCCTTTTGACCTGCATCTCATTACCAAGTCGAAGACCCTCCAGAAGGGCCTCGTATTCAGCAGCGTTGTTCCAGGGTTTGAAGCCAAACCTTACTGTGCAGTTTAGCTTGTTGCCTTTCGGGCTTTCCAAGATGATCCCTGCCCCAGAGCCAGTCTTTCCTGAGGACCCATCAATGAAAAGTTTTCATGTGGTGGGCTTGGCTGGTTCCATTATCACCTCCATTTTTGAGGCTTTGGCAAACTCAACCATAAAATCTGCTAGGGCCTGGCCCTTAATGGCCTGTCGAGATCGAAACAATAGATCGAATTCACTGAGCTCGATTGCCCATTTTAGCAGGTGACCTGATGCGTCTGTTTTCTACATCACCTACTTCAATGGAAAATTGGTGGGAACTTCGATTGAGTGGGCTTGAAAGTATGGCCTCAGTTTTCTTGAGGTTGTGATAAGGGTGAGTGCCAGTTTCTCCATGTCTGGGTAGTGTGTTTCAGTTGGGAGAAGTGCTTTGCTGGCGTAGTACACTGGCAACTGGCGCTCACCTTCTTTTCTAACTAGGACGGCGCTGACCGCCACATTCGAAATAGCTAAGTACAGCAGTAGTGACTCATCCAGATGAGATTTTGACAAGAGGGGCGCCTCTTCGAGGGGCTTTTTCAGCGCCTGGAAGGCTTCTTCACATTTCGAAGTCCATTGGAATTTCTTTCCTTGTTTCAGCACATTGAAGAAAGGCAAACTTTTATCTGTGGCTCTGGAGATGAAGCGACTGAGTGCGGCTACCCAACCATTGAGGCTTTGGACCTCCTTTGATTTCTGGGGTGACTTCATATCTAGCAAGGCCCTTATTTTCACTGGATTTGCTTTAATTCCCCTTTGATTGACAATATATCCCAAGAACTGACCCGATGCCACTTCGCAGGTGCATTTGAGGGGATTCAACATCATCTTATATTTTCTAAGTATTTGGAAAGTTTGGTTGAGGTGAGTTACGTGTTCGGCTGCCCGGAGGCTTTTGACTAACATGTCATCCACGTAGACCTCCATGGTTTTGCCAATGAGTTCAGCAAACATCATGTTGACCAGCCTCTGATATGTAGCTTTGGCATTCTTCAATCCGAATGGCATGACCTTGTAGCAGTACAGACCCTTGTCCGTAATAAATGATGTAGCTTCCTCATTAGGTCGGAACATGGGTATCTGGTTGTACCCCGAGTATGCATCCATGAAGCTCAGAAGTTCATGTCCAATAGTGGAATCCACAAGTTGGTCTATCCTTGGAAGTGGGAAGCTGTCTTTAGGGCACGCCTTATTCAAGTTTGTAAAGTATAAGCACACCCTCCACTTTTCGCTGGGCTTTTTCATTAGGACCGGGTTGGATATCCACTTCGGGTAGATGGCTTCCCTTATGAAATCATTGCGGCTAAGTTTGTTTACTTTGTCTTTCAGTGTCTCGTACCTCTCCGAGTTGAGGACACGTCTCTTCTGTCGATGGGGGGCACAAGAAGGGTTGATGTTAAGATGATGGCAGCTGATCCTTGGATCTATTCCCACCATGTCTTCATGCTTCCATGTAAAGACATCCAAGTTCCTTTTTAGGAAGCTTATCATCTCTTCTTTTACTTTGGGTGACAGCGCTTTCCCTATGTGCAAGACCTGACTGGGGTCTTCTGATTGACGAAGAAAGTTTCCAGTTCTTCCATCGGGGTTGCATTTGGTTCAAAGTCAATTATCTAGGGATCTAATTCATCAAGAGGGTACCCTTGTTCAAGGGCCTCTTCCATGTTGACGTCTTCCTCTTGTTCAGAGGTATGCCCTTGTTCAGAGGCATCGAGCATTTCCACGTCTGTACTGGCTTCAGTGAGAACTTCAGTTATGATTACATTAACAGTTTGGGGCTCCGACTTTCACAGTGAGTTCAAGTAGCATGCCCTGGAGCCCATCTAGTCGCCTCGAACCATCGTAATCCCATGTTCAGTTGAAAATTTCATGCACAAGTAGTGGATGGATGTGACGGCCCAAAGATCTTTCAATGCGGGTCTGCCCAATACCCCATGATAGGCCGATCTTTGGTCCACCACTAAGAATTCCATGAAGTGTTGGGCCATTAGGGGTGCTGAACCCATCTCAATGGGCAAAGTGATCATCCCTCGTGGAACGATACTCTCTCCAGTGAATCCAAATAGTGGGTCGGTCATGGGGATCAACCCGTGTTCAATCTGCATTTTGTCAAAGGTGGAGCCAAACAATATGTTCACCAAACTGCCATTATCGATGAGCATGCATTTCAGTCCATTTCTAGTCACTACGGCTCTTACAACCAAAGCATCACAATGGGGGTGGTGAACCCCCTTTGCGTCTTCATGGGAGAAGGTGATTGGGGCCATCCTATTGGCTGCTTGCGACTCGTTGACAATGTAAGTGATCATTGGCGGGTCCTTTGCTTCCCTTGTATAATTCCTTTGGGCATTTTTGGTGTTACCATCGATGTGGGGTCCCCCAATGATGGTATCAATTTCCCTGATAACCTAGCTCCCAAAAAATGGGGTCTGGTTTCTTTGTCTAGATTGACCTCGGTCCCTTTATTCTCTTCTTCGCGGTGATTGCTCTCTGTGCCCTCTATCTTCCCTGCTTGAGGTGGATCTGTGAGGATGTTCGTTCTTGCTAGAAGGGTGTGGGTTGCTTCGATCAGGGCGTCGATTGGCGTCTCGACACTCACTAGTGTCATGCCCATACAGTTGATGGAAAGTGCAAAACCTTGCTCCTTCCAAGGGCTTGTTTAATCGTTTCTTCTTTTTTTCTTGCTATCGGTTCTTCTAGATGGCCCTGCTTCGCTATGAGCATTTTCATATGCCAATACCGACACTGCATTTAGTGTGGCAGAAGCCAGTGCCTGTCCGGAGGTGGAAGCTATTGTGTGACCTGCCTGAGTCCATTGCTGAGTAACAAGGTGTGCTGCGGGTCCTCGACCTACCTGCCTCTGAGGGGGAGGGAGTCCTTGCGTAGCCCACTTTTGGTGATCAATCATATCTTCACTCACAATTTCCACTCTCATCATTTCCACCAGTTCGTCATGGGTGGAGGGATTCTTGCGCGCATGTCCCTCTAGAACAAAGTGTTCATGTTGAGCCCGCCTTTCAGGTCTGAAGGGCTTCTCTGTCAGTGAGCTATTCATAGTAGGTGATTTCATCTGTAAACCTAGCGAGATAGCTTTTCATCTTCTCCCCAGGGGCCTGTCTCATATCTTGCAGGCGTTGCACTAGTGCCTCTCTTTCTCTGTGTGAGGGGTATTGGTTCAAGAATACTTTCTTCAAATCTGGCCAACTTCTATCGCTTAGGTGAGGAAGCCTGCTGTACCACACTTCGGCGGCTCCACCTAGTGTTAAATGGAAGGCTCTGCATTTCAAGGTGGGTGAGGCTCCCCTTAGGCTCATCTGTGTCATGTACTTGGTGAGGTACTTCTTCGGGTCCACCTTTCCTTCATACTTGGGGATCTTAGGGGGCATGAGATTTGCTGGCATTGAGAAGCTTCAGATCTCCCTTGAGAAAGGAAGGTTATCATCATCATTGTTAATCTCATAAGATCGAAAGGGCCCATTTGACCCTTCATCATCTTGAATGTTCTGGGGAGGCGGAGGTGCCCCTCCTCGACTCCCCCAATCAATTAGGTTCCTCTTGTTCCTGATCCAGGGGAACTGATCTTCTCACTGGGCGGACCCTATTGCTAGGATCCTCCCCTATCCGGTCGAAGACGCTTACCAATCTCTGTTCTTCATATTCTTGAGGGAAGTTATACCCCTAGTAGGGTTCTGATGGCTGGCTCCCTTGCACATAAGATGTGGCCTCAGTGCCCACTTCTGTTTCGAGTGGGCGTTCTCTGTGTTGACTGGTGTGGCCTCGGGAACAAGATACTGAAGCTTCCTGCACTGGGTAAGATCCTTGGGGCATTTGAGAGCCCGGGTGACCTTGGGCTTGCATGAGGAGTTCATGCATTATCATATTCTGAGCTGCGATGTCTCTCATACCCGCAGCTATTTGAGCCATTCTTTCAGTGAGCATTGCTATTCTTTCACCTCGGTGACGCCAGTGATGGGGTCTCTGATGAGTAACATTGTTATGGAGTACGTCTTCTTCAGAGGCCTCTCTGATGTGGTTGTCGTCTTCATGGCTATAGCTCATCCTATCTCCTTTTTCAAGGGTACTGAGAACTTGGATTGTAACTCGACTTTGTTCTTTTTCAAGAACATTCCCTTTTTAGGGTTAGTCTCTAGTTTTCCGGTAACTTCTCCGGTGGAGAATGTAGAACTTGAACGGGAAGTGCTTCCCACAAACGGCGCCAGTCTGTTGACCTCGAAAAATGGACCTTCCACGTGGTCAACCGATAGCTACTCCATGTATTCCTCCCTACACACAATCAACGCACGGTCAGACGCACACGATCGGGACCAGCGTGGGTGGTGGCGGTCGTATACACTCCGACGGTCAAGTCAGGTTTAGGTGGTCGGAACAGTACCCAGAGGTTGTCTCAAAAACACTAAGGGAGAGGAGAAAATATATAAACTTGCTATGGAGTGCTATGTAATAAGAGTTTCATTACCTTTGCCTCTTGCCAAACCTTGGGTATTTATAGGTGGGATGAACCGTTGGATGTGGGACACGTGTATACATCTGATGGTATGAGGCGTCCGCTCATAGGCGTCAATTAGCCACGTCTGTAGAGTAGGCGGGCAGTTTGTTTCTCTCGAGTTGAGTTGACATAAAGTTAATAAGTCACATCAACTAGCCTCATGGAGACGTCAAATTAATTTAAACCTTAGGTGCAGAGAGGATCTTGGAAAAAATCTCTTTCTGAAATTGGCGGCGGATCTTCTGACACAGGTCCACTTCACCTCGGTCTCAGGGACGAGGGTGTTTTGGTCAGTTCAGCAGGATTGCCTATGTCTTGTAATGTGTTATCAGGTCGTTGACATTGGTGAGATCACTTTGGAAACACTTTGGATAGGTGTCATCAGGTTGGAATGTGTGGTGGTGGGTATTTCAAGGCGGTTCAGATTGGGGCGTAACATATTTTGTTCCACCATTCTTTTCTATCATTCTTTTTGGCAAAATTGGTGATCTCACATATTTCGTGATTTTGTTCCACCGTATCCTTTCTCTTGAGATCACCATAAGGACCACATATTAAAAACTTTAGGATTGATTCTATTCCACCATTCTTTACCACCGTTCCTTTTGGAAAAATCAGAGATTTCACTTCTCGCGTTACATTTTTCTATGCCTATATCATCTTTATCGGGTCCTCCGAAACATTAGCGAGACTTGCCTCTTGCCTCTCTAGATAAACGTTTGCCCTTATCTAAACTTCGCATTAATGAACACGTCCTCCATCATTTGGCAATTTGCCAAACTACTACACCATGAATACTCAATCTTTAGGCCTTAGAACAAAATTAACATAACAAATGCATAAACAGCAATCATGGAACCCCACAATGCTATAAGCAACTCAGGAAATTGTGATCAATTTTGAGTTTCATCAACTCTTACAAATGCTGTTTGGAAACAATTTCCAATTTAAATGTACAACTACCCCTCTATTACAGGTTTATGCTATGATGCTCTAATTCGGGTATGGAGATAGGATACGAGTATATATCTAGGAGTCGGATCCTCCTCATTCTAAAAATTAAGATATTGGGATACGGTTAAAAAGAATCCGAATTTTGGATACAGGTATGGGGATACTTCTTACAATTTTTATTTTTAAAAACCATAGAACAATGCCAAAATAACAAAGAGAAAAATGGTTCAATTAAAGTAAATAACAACAATACTAAATTAAATTGTAAACACAATTAACTGATATTGGTTGTTAAAAAAAATGAAGTCGTGGTTTATTTTGTTTACCAACTCCTTCAATAAAATCAATTTAACCAATTGAATTATAATTCGAAATCAATTTAAAGTCAAAATAAATTTTTTTCCAAAAATTTAAGACAAAATCAATTTCAATGTCTTATATATTATTTTAAAAAAGATTACAGAAATAAATTTAAATTTAATACCAAAGAAAAGATATATCACTAACTCATTTTAATTACAACACAAAATGTTCATAAAGATAAAAATATAAGAAATAAAAAAATTATATAAAAATAAACTCAAATTAAATTATACAAAAATAAACTCATTAACTACATTCATTGAATTTCACAAGAGCCCATTTAATGCACTCTCATTAACTTTATTCATTGGACTGCTCAAAAGCGCATTTAACCCCTCTAAAACTCATCATTTTCCCTATTTTCTTGTCTTCCCCAAAGTTTTCTCTCTTTGCAAATTTTTCAGCTGCCAAAGCAGAAAGACACCTTCCGTCATCTTCTAGCCATGTCCAAGTGTAAAACGGAGGATCCAATCCAAACATGTCGTGTCGACACGGATACTTCTCTCCATTTTTGGAGAGTCCGGGCAACATAGGGTTTAAGCCACCACATATTAGGCAAAACATTAGCTAATCAATATTAACAAGATGAAACAAGATACTCACGCCTAAGCTATTTCAATTAAAACAATAGGAACTCTGTTGGAGTTGAAAAAACCAATACAAACATAAATAATACTAACCAATATTGTAAGCCTTATTAGAATTAACTTGTACTACATAAAAAAAAAAAAAAAATCTTTAGAGCCACTTTATATCCAGAGCTACATCTTCTCAAAGTTTCAAGGAAATCACATCTTTTGCAACCACCTTAGGCCATATTTATTTTAATATATTGCACCTTCTTTTAACTTGTTTTATACAACTATACAAAATATGTTTTCCTTATAATAAATTTTCGACTTTGACGTCAACACAAAAAAAGTAACAAAATCTTTCCACCTTCATAATCAAAATCTCATGTGCCTTTAATTAAGAATATTTAAGATTTGTAAGTCACAATTTGTGAGTCAACAAAATGGGCACATCAAGTACTTTGTTGGACATGCCCATCAGGCAAGAATCCTCTTTTCCACTTCAATACTGACATATCGATGAAGAAAAGCATAAAAAAGGATGAAGATTGAACAAACCAAGAAGCATGATTTCCAGACGCATGTTTCTTCGTAATGGACTCTTTACTTGAGGTTTAAACAAAGGGAATAGAAGGGGATTTCACCGATTGATCATGGCTTAATAGAGCGAGAAAGTGAACTCTTTTTTTGGGAGAAAATCAAGCTTACTTTGGTAATATCATGACAATAAATTCTTTTTTTTTATCAGTAAATGTGAATCAATATTGATCAAAATGAAATACAAATACACCGGGCATTCCCGGGATTACAACTCAAAATCAAGTCCATATGCACTTACAGTTACAATTATACCAAGCTTTCCCGGGTAAAACCAAAGGAGAAAAAATGGCGCACCATTACAATCTATAGCCCCATAGCTAAGGATTGAAATTGAACCTAAACATTCGGATACAAAGAAAACATAACTTTGTATACGTGTGTTTTGATTCGTTGAACAATGCTATGGTCATGTGGTATAAGGTCTTCAAAAATCTTCTTATTCCTTGCCGTCCAAATGTGATAAATAGTAGTCACAAGTGCAATACGTTTGGCCTTGCTACGCCAAGAAGCACCTCGAGTTTCCTTTTTAATCCATTTCATTACACTTGGAAGTATAGACATAGATCTCCTAATGCCGACCCACACACGGATTTTATCCCAAACTGATTGGCTAAATGTATATCCAAAGAACAAGTGCTCCACAGTCTCATCCATAAGTTCACACAAGCTGCACTTATGATCAATCTGTAAATAATGCAATCTGTCCTTAGTTAGCAATGTAGATTTAGCTGTTAATCACAAGATAAAAGTGTGTTTTGGCGTCACATATGCATTCCAAATGGAGGTAGTCCAGATTACCTTTGTTCCTTTCGGCCTGAAGTACTCATATGCATATGCAATATTGAATCTGCCATTAACTATCTAGCTAATCAGATTCTGGACAGCAACCTATCTACCATTTCCTGTCAAGTTGGATCTGTAAATAATGCAATCTGTCATTAGTTAGCAATGTAGATTTAGCTACTAACCACATGATAAAAGCATGTTTCAGTGTCACATATGCATTCCAAATGGAGTAGCCCAGATTACCTTTGTTCCTTTTGGCCTGAAATACTCATATGCATATGCAATATTGAATCTGCCATTAACTATCCAGCTGGTCAGATTCTGGACAGCAACCTGTCTACCATATCCTGTCAAGTTGGACAGATCTTTGTCAGCCACCTGGGCATTGTATACTGCCTGATTAATGTTGTCCCTAATGTCCAGCAGTTTTTTGAAAAGAGGAGAGTCCTCTTTCCTCGGCTTGTATGTCCAAATACAACCCCACGAAGGTAAACTTGATTAACCCATTTAATACACAAGGTGTCCTTCTTAGAATGAATATTCCAAAGTGTCTTCGCAAGTAGTGCGGAGTTCCAACTTTTGATGTCCCTAAGCCCAAGTCCACCTTCATCCTTTGGTAGGCATATATTGCTCCATGCAACCAATGGTTTATTAGATCTCCAAAAAAAGTTTCGACAAAGAGAAATGACTCTAGAAGCAACCGTTGTCGGAATAGGAAAGATGGATAACAAAAAACATACAACCCCTTGAAGCACGAACCTTACAAGCTCCATTCTTCCCACATAAGATAAGGATGCCCTAGACCAAGCACCAATATAAGCTGTGATTTTGTTGATAAATGCATCCTAAGTGTTGATTTTCAAACTTTTGCCTTGCAAGAGGAATACCCAAGTAGCTTAAAGGCATAGAACCTCTGGGGATGTTAGCAATCTCAATAATTTCCTCCATCTTTTGGCCATGAACCCTCTCCATGTACAAGTTAGACTTGTCAATATTCATCCTTAGCCCCGACATGTTGCCAAAGTTAGCAAAGCAATTAATCAAAATACTAACCGAAGTTGCATCGCTTCTAGCAAAAAGCATCAAATCATTTGCGAAAGCCAAGTGCGTAATCTTTAGAGGAGCACATTTAGGATGGAAATTAAATTCACTATTTTCGGTAGCTCCCTTGAACATCCTAGAAAAATATTCAAGGTACAAGACAAATAAGAAAGGACAAAGAAGGTCACCTAGCCGAAGCCCCTTTTTTTCCTTTAAAAAAACCATGTAGTCCACCATTGAGAGCAATGGAGTACGTAGGTGATGTAACAGATTCCATAAACCAAATAATGAAAGTAGTATGGCACTTCAATCCCTCAAGCACATTCTTGAGAAAATCGTATTTCATCGAGTCATAGGCCTTCTTTAAATCAATTTTAAGAAGGCACCGCGGGGAAACCCTCTTTTGATTGTATTGTCTCAAAAGCTCTTGAGCAAGGTGGATATTCTTTGTCATGCTCCTACCTACCACAAAAGCGGCTTGAGCTTTATCAATAATGGACTCAAGAGTAGAACCCAACCGAGAGGCAAGTATCTTAGCGGTGACATTATGGAAACATTGCAACAAGCGATTGGTCTATAGTTATTCACCGATGAAGAATGATTCGCTTTAGGGACCAAGGCAATAATGGTATGATTTGTTTGCTTAAGGAGGGACCTAGAAGCAAAGAACTCACCAATAGCTCCTAAAAATTCATCACCAACACTATTCCAAGCCTCTTTAAAGAAATAAGATGTATAACCATCCATCCCTGGAGACTTGTTATCACCAATGCTAAACAATGCATCCTTTATTTCTTGCCTAGAGACATCCTGAACAATTGAAGTAGCATGCTCCTCTGTCAAAGAAGGTCCAAACTCTAGAATTTTAGCTTCAAAAGGTAGTCCAATGCTATCTTTTCCCAGTAACTCACTAAAAGCATGAGTGAATTCATCGGCCACTTCTTTTTGTGATGAGGAATATGAGCCATCCCTTTTTAGCACAGCAGCAATGAAGGTTCTTTTGGTACTTCTCTTCACCATAGAGTGAAAAGACTTTGTACATTTATCACTATTTTTCCAATATGCACACTTTGCTTGTTGGAAGTAAAAACTTCTCTCCGCTTCACAAAGATTCATAGCTTCTCTCCTCAAAGGTACAACCTCATTTTGCAAATGAGGATTTGTGGGATCATCATGTAAAACCAGCTGGGTTTCCTTTAAAACTTTAGTGGTTACCTCAGCTCTAGTAGATATGTCCCCAAAATGTTTGACATTAAGCTCTTTCAGTACTTCTTTAAGGCGTTGTAATTTTTTGCAAGGAGAAAATTGCTTAGTTCCCCGAATCCCAAGATTCCAAACACTAAGCACAATACCATAAAAGTTCTCATGTTTAGTCCACATGTTGAAGAATCTAAATGGTTTTCTTTTGTGCTCATCATATGCAAAAGTAGAAACAATGCAAGGTGAATGGTCAGATATGCATCCCGAAGGTAGGAATTCTGCAAAACTAGAAAACTCTATTTGCATCCAAACATCATTAACCATAGCTCTATCAAGAGTACTCCACATAGAGTTGTTGGACCAAGTGTACAAACACCTAATGGATCTCATATCCGTAAGTCCTACATTNCTGGACAGCAACCTGTCTACCATATCCTGTCAAGTTGGACAGATCTTTGTCAGCCACCTGGGCATTGTATACTGCCTGATTAATGTTGTCCCTAATGTCCAGCAGTTTTTTGAAAAGAGGAGAGTCCTCTTTCCTCGGCTTGTATGTCCAAATACAACCCCACGAAGGTAAACTTGATTAACCCATTTAATACACAAGGTGTCCTTCTTAGAATGAATATTCCAAAGTGTCTTCGCAAGTAGTGCGGAGTTCCAACTTTTGATGTCCCTAAGCCCAAGTCCACCTTCATCCTTTGGTAGGCATATATTGCTCCATGCAACCAATGGTTTATTAGATCTCCAAAAAAAGTTTCGACAAAGAGAAATGACTCTAGAAGCAACCGTTGTCGGAATAGGAAAGATGGATAACAAAAAACATACAACCCCTTGAAGCACGAACCTTACAAGCTCCATTCTTCCCACATAAGATAAGGATGCCCTAGACCAAGCACCAATATAAGCTGTGATTTTGTTGATAAATGCATCCTAAGTGTTGATTTTCAAACTTTTGCCTTGCAAGAGGAATACCCAAGTAGCTTAAAGGCATAGAACCTCTGGGGATGTTAGCAATCTCAATAATTTCCTCCATCTTTTGGCCATGAACCCTCTCCATGTACAAGTTAGACTTGTCAATATTCATCCTTAGCCCCGACATGTTGCCAAAGTTAGCGAAGCAATTAATCAAAATACTAACCGAAGTTGCATCGCTTCTAGCAAAAAGCATCAAATCATTTGCGAAAGCCAAGTGCGTAATCTTTAGAGGAGCACATTTAGGATGGAAATTAAATTCACTATTTTCGGTAGCTCCCTTGAACATCCTAGAAAAATATTCAAGGTACAAGACAAATAAGAAAGGACAAAGAAGGTCACCTAGCCGAAGCCCCTTTTTTTCCTTTAAAAAAACCATGTAGTCCACCATTGAGAGCAATGGAGTACGTAGGTGATGTAACAGATTCCATAAACCAAATAATGAAAGTAGTATGGCACTTCAATCCCTCAAGCACATTCTTGAGAAAATCGTATTTCATCGAGTCATAGGCCTTCTTTAAATCAATTTTAAGAAGGCACCGCGGGGAAACCCTCTTTTGATTGTATTGTCTCAAAAGCTCTTGAGCAAGGTGGATATTCTTTGTCATGCTCCTACCTACCACAAAAGCGGCTTGAGCTTTATCAATAATGGACTCAAGAGTAGAACCCAACCGAGAGGCAAGTATCTTAGCGGTGACATTATGGAAACATTGCAACAAGCGATTGGTCTATAGTTATTCACCGATGAAGAATGATTCGCTTTAGGGACCAAGGCAATAATGGTATGATTTGTTTGCTTAAGGAGGGACCTAGAAGCAAAGAACTCACCAATAGCTCCTAAAAATTCATCACCAACACTATTCCAAGCCTCTTTAAAGAAATAAGATGTATAACCATCCATCCCTGGAGACTTGTTATCACCAATGCTAAACAATGCATCCTTTATTTCTTGCCTAGAGACATCCTGAACAATTGAAGTAGCATGCTCCTCTGTCAAAGAAGGTCCAAACTCTAGAATTTTAGCTTCAAAAGGTAGTCCAATGCTATCTTTTCCTAGTAACTCACTAAAAGCATGAGTGAATTCATCGGCCACTTCTTTTTGTGATGAGGAATATGAGCCATCCCTTTTTAGCACAGCAGCAATGAAGGTTCTTTTGGTACTTCTCTTCACCATAGAGTGAAAAGACTTTGTACATTTATCACTATTTTTCCAATATGCACACTTTGCTTGTTGGAAGTAAAAACTTCTCTCCGCTTCACAAAGATTCATAGCTTCTTTCCTCAAAGGTACAACCTCATTTTGCAAATGAGGATTTGTGGGATCATCATGTAAAACCAGCTGGGTTTCCTTTAAAACTTTAGTGGTTACCTCAGCTCTAGTAGATATGTCCCCAAAATGTTTGACATTAAGCTCTTTCAGTACTTCTTTAAGGCGTTGTAATTTTTTGCAAGGAGAAAATTGCTTAGTTCCCCGAATCCCAAGATTCCAAACACTAAGCACAATACCATAAAAGTTCTCATGTTTAGTCCACATGTTGAAGAATCTAAATGGTTTTCTTTTGTGCTCATCATATGCAAAAGTAGAAACAATGCAAGGTGAATGGTCAGATATGCATCCCGAAGGTAGGAATTCTGCAAAACTAGAAAACTCTATTTGCATCCAAACATCATTAACCATAGCTCTATCAAGAGTACTCCACATAGAGTTGTTGGACCAAGTGTACAAACACCTAATGGATCTCATATCCGTAAGTCCTACATTGAGGCAACAATTAATAAAGTCTTTAACCTCATATGGAGTCACATCGACTCCATTACATTTCTCATCAAAATTGAGTACATTGTTGAAGTCACCCATAATCAGCCAAGGCACAAAACAATCCAATCTAACCTTTGCGATATTATCCCAAAGAGATCTACGACTTACAATTGTATGAAGACCAGAGACAAAACTATCAAGAAATTTAAGAGATGTTACCTTACAAGTAACAATACAGCGGATGACTTGTGACTGACGTATTCTCCAACATTTCCAAGTCAACTTTTAAAGAGTCCCATAACACCAAAATTTGTCTAGCACTGTGTGACAGAAAGTTGTTGATTTGCAATAGGTTGCCAAATTTATTCGGCATGATTCGGTCTAGCTTCGACATCCCCAACTTAGCTTCCAATATACCCATAACATCAATATAGTGTTAATTCATAAAACTTTTATCCCGTTTTGCTTAAGGGGGCGGTACAAGCCCCTTATGTTCCAAGTACCAAACTTCATGATGATGAAGGAAGGGAATTACCCTTCTTTCTAACCTTAGCATTTGGTAACTTACTCTTCTCATCCTCCTTTCCTTTGATTTTCTCATTATTTGGTTTTTCCAAATAAACACTACTATTATCAATATCCTTTCCTACACATTAGCAGGAGCTCCAGTCCTTGATATGTTAATGCCAACATTAGCTGCTGAATAGTCTACAATCTGCCTGAAAGATGTATAAATAGTTTTTGCACCTTTCTTTTTACCAACAGCCCGTGAAAATGGCGCACCACCTTGCTCTTTTTGCTATACTTTACCACACCTATCTGATTAGAACTAGCCTGTGCTTCCAAAACTGCCTGTTTCGAGGCAATGTCAGCAACTTGTGCCGATTTTCCTGTGTTTGCCGAATTCCCAGCCTCTTTCGGCCTCAGTATAATAGGCTGGTTTGTGACATTACATGTTATACTAGCATGTCCAAACATCTTACAATTTGCATAAAATTTGGGTTCGTGCTCAAATTCAACCTCTTGCACTCTCAATTTGCTCGTTGGAAGGTTCATAGCCACAAACCGAACAAACTCCTTGGAGGCATCAATTTCCACTAACACGCGTGCATAAGAGATTCTGCCCTTAGTAGTAGCGAGTTTGTCCATTGAAATTGGTTTCCCAATCTTAGATACAATTTTAGCCAAAGCCCTAGGATTCCAACAATCAAATGGAAGACTTGGTAACTTCACCCATACCGGAATGGTTCATACCTCTTTATCATCGAATTCAAAACATCGGGGGCATAACTTTAAGCATTAACGGTCTACCGAATACAAAGTAAGGAGCATCCTGTGTCACACTAGTCCTTGATGCCTCATCTTTAAACTTGAAAATCAACCACCCACTTCTATGTACAAAATATTGGTACTCAACCTTCCAAGAGTTACACATAAGGAGCAATGTGTCAATGTGTGAATAAGTGGCTTGAAATCGAATATGAAGCGAACTACAATCTAATAGCAAGCAACTAGCAACAAGATTAAAAAATGATGCAATAAGAAAATCCATATTCATAAAACAAAAATTAAAAAATGGTGTGGCAAAAAAAAAAAAAGTTGAGCTTCATCGTTTGTATGTATTAAAACAATATTTAAAAAAAAAGCATAAATATAAATCATAAGTTTATGAATTAATATGTATTCTAGTTTAAAGTTTCATTTCTTAATTAAACTACTATAAGTTCTCAAATTTCCTCTTTTTTGAAAATTAAATTGAAGACCTGTATAAATTTTATTATTTTCTTAAGACAAGTAAAATAACTAAAATACTTTAAAGAATGTAATAATAAAAAGTATACATAGTATTTGAACTAAAATATATGAAAGTGGCCTAGTGGTACTTAGGCCTGGGCGTAGTTTGATTTGGGTCGGTTTTGACTCCAACCCAAAACCAAAACCAAAACCAAAACCAAATTAGTCGGTTTGGGTAAATTTCAAATCAAACCTGTCCATTCCCGCTCTTAAACTAAACCAAACCATACCAAATCAGTTTGGACTCTTAGTCCAAATTAATTTTTTTAAAAGAAATTGTCCGAGTCCTAGTCACGCTTAAATTACAAGAACTAAAATAATCAAATAATTTTATATTATAAAAATTATTGATTAACAAATAAAATCAAGTTAATAAAGATGATCAGTAGAAAACTTAAAAATTTTATCGCTTTATTATGTATTATGTAATTTGACCGCCTGAATATGGAAAAAATGCTAAGTATAACATAAGAAGCTTATAAAAGAAAATTGTCAGTTCTGTTACTTAACGGCAACATCATAAATTGGAGGGAATCTTGATATAGTTATGAGATTTGAATTTATTTTTTGATTTTTATTTTTCTTCAATTAAAAAAAAGGTGAACACATGAGTGGGTTGGTTAGTTCGGTTAACCAACGGTTTGAAACTTCAAACCATGACTAGACCAACCCATCACGATTTTGTTTAAAAGAAAACCAAACCAAACCAATTATTTACGTCAAACCAACCCAAACCGATCCGAGTTGATTCGATTTGATTGGTTTGGTCGATTTTTTGATTTTTTTTGCCCAAGTTTAGTGGTACCGGGTTCCTCAATTAATCCTCGGTTCAAGGCTCCAAAATTGACCATTTTATTTTGATATATTATCAAATCAGCTAGCCCTTTCAGAATATAGATTAGGTGGGTTTGAGTTTTAGGTCTATGAACTCCGGCTAATGTACTTGGAACTTGGATAAGGGCTACACACAATTTGGACTTAAATAAAAGAAAAAAAGTTGGGCTAACCTTGAAAAAATGTCCCTAGTAGACAATCTCCTCAGATCTATCAGCGGTATTACATTTCATTTTTTCTCTCCAAAACCATCTATCCATTGAAATTTACTTGATTTCTATTTGAGTCATCTTATACAAACACTAGATAAACAATAGAAAGAAACTTAGGCAATCTTCAAACATTGAGCAATGAAGTGAAAATGGATTGATAGTCATGATACCTCAAAATGAGCATGACATGATCCCTGCATAGGGATGCATGTGATAATACTCAACAACTAGTCAATTGTCCAGCTATCAAGAATATTTTCTACTAGAGGGCCCTGCAAACTGATCAACATAAATTTTATAAGAGGCAGCAAGCACTGAAAAATTTATTGGAGTCTTAAGGAAACAAATGCATTTAGAAGAGAATAATATCAAGTAGAACTTTGCTATTTGTACTCTGATTTTTGACATTTTAGTTGACACTTGCATTGTTGTCAAGTGTCAATTGAATGAAAAAACTGTTTAAAATTTAAACTATCCAGTAGAATAATGACACGTGATTAAGTGTAAACTAAAGTGTACACCATAGTATACATGTAGTAAGGTTCTATGAAGTATTAACCAGGATCAAGGAAGATATGCATAGTTTCCACTGTAATGTAGCATATTCAGTTTAAAATTGCTAGAACATAATGCTGGTCAACCTCAAATACGACGAAATTAATTTGAGCATTACTGGAATAGAATTTATGGAGATGGGAAGATGATATATTAAGTCATGAACAGTAAATTTCACATATTTGGTCTGACCTAGAAATAAAAAAAGGATTTCCACTACTTCTCTTGTCCCACATTCAGTAGGTAATCTTAGATCATTAGATTATATTAAAAATTACCAACTCTTTGAACCTCTCATTTACTTTTCTTTTTTTTTTTTCTTTTTTAAAGTACCTATAGAGGTAAATGAAGATAAAGGTAGCACATGTGGTGCACGCTGATTTTATATGAAGGAATGGCAATGGTGGTGCTTTCTTTGGTAAAGACTGCAATATGTGGTGATATGAAAAGTAGT